ATTTCAGAAGTACCAGTGGGCCAGGGGACAGTAGTCATGGCAATATTATCAACAGGGCATGGAGTCCAGGAGCCCTTACAGGTATATAGAACGCACAGATGGTAAAGTCCCTTGTGTAAAATGGCATCCTCCTGGATCCTTTACATATTTGGGGGGGGGCAAGGAATCAAACCCAGAGTATGGCACATGCTACACAAGTGCTCTACCATTGAGCCATGTCTCCCACCCACCCAAATACTTTAATTCATATCTATGCTACTTGTAATACCAATACAAAGTAAAACTTTATTTAATTTTGATATATAGTTTACCTATATTTTGTATTATGCCTACGTATCTTATTTGTAATCTTTGGTGAGAGACTCAAGGAATGGAACTTTTTGCCTGTTTCCTACAGTGTTAAGACCTAGAGGTTTACAACCCAGCTTCCCAGTAACAATCTGGCCCCAGAGTCACTTGGAACCTATTCTGTTTATTCTGACTGCTCAATTTGTAAATCCTCTGTGCAGTTGTACTCTGCTAATGTCATTTGCTTAATGTGTTTCTTTAGCAGAATATGAAGACAGCAGGTCTCATAGTGGTAGAGAAATGCTATACAATAAGAGAGGCCCTTGCCTTGCCTCCATTTATTTTCCATAGAATATTTTGTTTTGGAAATCTAAGTCCGTGTTGCTGGGCTCCAGCCCAGTGTATCAAAATGGTTTGTGAATGCTTAAACTGTGTGACGTTTCAGGAATGTTCTGCTAATCTCTGCCCCCTCACAACAAGGTTCTGTTAAGCTCTGCCCCCTCTCAGGAATGTTCTCTAAGTCCTCAGTTTGTGCCCAGTGTATCAAAATGGTTTGTAACAGTTTGAACTGTGTGACCTTTCAGAAATGCTCTGTTAAGCCCTGCCCCCTCACAACAATGTTGTGCAAGCCACTCCTTTGCCTCAGGAAAGTCCTTTAACTTCACCTCCCTACTTCAGTGAGCTTACTCACATGGCATGTGTTTCAAGAACCTTCTGTAACCCATCGCTTTACTTCATGAATGTTCTGTAACTCCACCCGCCTTGCTGCACTGAGCGTGCTCACACAGCATATGTCTCAGGAATGTTTTGTAACTCTGCTGCCCTGCTTCAATGAGCATGCTCACCTACCCTGCAGATCCCTATATAAGGAGGCTGTCATTTCTGGTAGAGTGCTCAGACTCCTCTGAGCCCAGTGAGCTTGCAAAAGTAATGAAGGGTTTTTTATCCACTTCTTCAACTGACCATCAATTCTCAAATCCTCAGATTACGAGAGCAGTGACCCACAGCTACCACACTGAGCTATAAAGCTAAGCTATGCCTCTGAACTGTGGCATGTGGCTGCAACACTGTGCTATAACATTTAACTATTGCACTGAGCTGTTGGTCACTGACACAACAGTAGGAGAGTCCACCAGCAGTCATCATTAAAGCAGGAGCCCCAGTGGGCAGTACTTCCAGTGATACATATGATTGAACATTTAGTCTGGAAGGAAAATGCTCAGAGAAGCCTGGTGGTTGATAGATTTATGGAGTTTCTAGTGGTTTCATAGATTGGCAGGAAACTTAAAGGAAATGAGATCGGTGATTGTTGACAAGGAGACTGAAGTATGTGGATAATATCTCAAAATGTGAACACTCTAAGACATTGTGTCTTTTGGATAAGTCCATCCAAGGCACACACTGCAGGAGACTCTCTGTGATCCAGTGGGTACATGCATGCTCTGTCCATGACTGTCTTACCCTGTGACTCACATCAGCACCTTCCACAGAAGCAAGGCAGAAAGTGGTCAAAGTGCCAGAGTCAGAGATGGTGAAATGCTGAAAAATAACTCCTGGATGATGTCTACTTCCTAATTCCAAGGCACTATGGTAGTTGCCTCACAAGGACAGAGTGATTTTGCATCTAATAAGAGGTGTGACTAAGTTAGGGATCTTGAGATAAAAAGATCAGCCTGGACTAGTTAGGTGCACATAGCACAGTCACAAGTGTTCTGCTAGTAGAACTCAGTAGAGCCACAGTCAAAAAAGATGTGACTGAGGACACATATAGTGGTTAGAGGAGAGAAAATGTTCTGTTGTTGGCTTTCAGCAGGGAGAAATATCCCCAGACAAAAAAGGAAGTGTGCTTGAAAGTTGGACAAGACCAAGAAATGCATTGTTTCAGAGCCTCCAGAAGGAACTCAGTGCTGCAAGCCATCCTAGACCTCTGATCTTAAAACTGGTAGAGCATAGATATATCAGGATCATTCCATTGTGTTTGTGATGGTTCTTTATAGCAGTCATATTGTGTGAACAGAGACAAAACCCTGGTTCACCTTCTCTACCAAGTCTGACTGTTTTCCACCACTGTTAGATAAGACGGCATTGTTCTCCACAGGAGCAGTGAGGCTCATGCAGATGAAGCAGACTGAATCATGCTGGTTGTCTTCAGTGGTTTAGACATGTATCTAATGTAGGAATTCTTTTCAGTACTTGAATATTTGTTGTTGTTGTTGTTGTTGTTGTTGTTTTGGTAGCAGAGATGGAACTTGGGACCTTCTACTTGTGAGGCAGGGGTTGGCACCACTGTAGCCAAATCCCCAAACCAATATTGAATAAATCCAATGTAGGATTTATTTAATCCTAATGTTGACAGGTGAGGAGGTGGATACTATGTTTGTACCTATTTGATATATGAGAGAACCAAGGCACAAGGGTCAAATACCTCATCGCGGTCACACAGACAATGTGCCAAAGTAAAAAATCTGTTCCCATCCTGTCTGGACCAACTGCTGAAGGCTAATACATTGGTTTTATTTATATTTTTTAAATGATTTTTGCATTCAGTTTTTTCAAAGGAAGATAGCAAGGTGAGAATATTTTCATAGCATTTTCATTCATCATCAAAATTTTGCACCATGTTTTCCGACTCCATCGAGGATGAATTTTCTAATTTTATTATATGTGCTGCCTAAGCGAGCACCGGGAAGGATATCCTAAAACACAAGCCAAATCTCATTGCTTCCTTGCTTAGAAGCTAAATTGTATGACACAAGTCTAGGTTAATTCTGCCTCTCCATTCATGCCTCCTCAGAACCTGTTTAAATACACCCAAGTCTTCTGACTTTTAGCCACACTTCCTATATGCTTATATTGCCCAATACTCTGAAATTTTGCAAGCTTGGGTGAATCACCTGCATTTCTAGGGATAGAACTTGGGACCTTGCGCTTGCACAGTAGGTGGCAGAACCACTGAGCTAAATCTCTGCATTTTGAAGACTCATTTAACCACAGGAAACTGATGGGATTGGATCAGGAAAGGCTGTTCTTTTGACTCAGCCTTGAAGGGAACCCCCAAATCCTGACATGTTTGATCATCAAGTGTGCCACTGTGGTGATTAAACATCAATGACATGTGGCTACTATTTCTTACATGTTCTTCGTGTGAGGTTCAGCCAGAGCCTCATGGAGTTAAAAGATCTTAAGAACACTCTGGTGTCCATTGAGTCTGACAGAATATTCAGAGGAGTGATCTGTATGTCCTCTCTGTTCCTGAAGGAACCCTGACTGGCCTGAGGACAAAGAAGCGTTGTCATAAGTCAGCTCTCACAAAGCTCCTGGGAGACCCAGAAGAACAAGATAAAACAAAGGAGAATGACATCAGTGGAGAAGAAAGGTGGAGTTAAAAAAGTTAAGAGGACCCCATCTAGGTAACCAACTATCCCTACCTGCACCAGAAGGTAGAGCTCACGTGTGCAAAGCAGATTGTGTATCGTAGGCTCACAGATTAGTTTCACCCTTCTTCTGATCACCTTCTGCTGTGACCTTCTATGTAGGGCAGATTTTGTGAAGGTCCCCTGAGTTCTATTTGTACTTAACAGACTATATGAACTCCGTATATGAAGAAGACCCATGACGTCTTTTGGATGAGATGTGGCAAAAGGGTCAGTTTAGATGGGACTAAGTGTCCCTCATTATAGTACACTAGATCTGCTGGCCACTGGGTCCACTCTGTATCTTGGTTGTTGATTTAAGGAGGTGAGCACTATTTAAATTTATGTGGAATGACTCTGTGGGTGAACATAGAAGCTGAGGTTGAACACCTTTGGCTAAGATCTAACAGGACACTGATGAGTTCAGTCTGTAATCCAAAGAGTCTGTCTTCTCCCTGATGATCTTGAATGTAGAACATTCCCCTTTGAGTGGCAGACTGGACTACAATTAAACTCTTGACAGCATGCCCCATGGAACAAAAAGGTAAGATTCCAGCTAATCTAGGAGAAGCACATTGGCCCTTACAAATTGTAATATAATGTGTAATGTGAAACCCTAGAACATCTGCAGTGCTACTGTTCAATGGAAACAGAAAATTGACTCCCCTTTCTGTGAAGGATGGTAGAATACAACACATGCATCATGATTCCTAATGAGACTCCATGAACCCCATTCCAGCTGTCTGTAAAATACTGGTGTTCAATGAAGGGACCAGAGGCTGATGTAGGAGCCTTACCTTTGTTGGTCACAGGTGAGAGTGTTGGTATGTAGGCGAGCTATGCCTGCATGGATGGGAGAGACTCCACTTTCCCACTCTCACTGGGCCCAGGAACCCAGGATGTGATGGGTCGCACAGCACGGCACTGGACCCTGCTATGCTGTGTCAACAGAGATACAGGTTCAACAGGCAATAGGGACTAATTGTTGGCATTATGTCTGCAGAGACCTCATGGTTTAAAGATTTAAGGCAAAATTAAAGGCATTTTTTTCCTCATTAATATTTATTCCTAAATTTTAGAGAATGTTGTTAGAAGCAATTCTGAGCATTGGAGATATTGGAAGGAAATACAGTTTGTATTTTCTTGAAAGTAAACCCAAAAAGTTCTTCACTCCATTTTATCCTCCCTAACTGAGCTATGATAGATTAGCAACTTCTGCAGTAAAGTGGAACTCAGCAGAATCCCTAACCTTGGAAGAACTATCCTGGCCCATTATTACTCAAGCCCCTAGAGTTGCTGTCATATGCTCTTTATGTAACGGACTACAGCATCTAAAATTTTCTGGGAACACGGGAAAGAGAAAGGCTTCCTATCAAATAAAAGTATACATGCATGAAATCCATCCTTCACATGGTACCAGGTCACTGGGATCCCCTGGTCTTCCAAGCGCTTCTTGTAGAGCAGGGTGTCATCACGGAGGATATCACTCTCACAGCTCACCAGGAAGGCCTCAGGAAGCTGAGCGATGATCTCATCATCTGCAAGAAGTGGTTCATTTTCTATATCAAATAAATGTTTTGTTTCCAGATAAGCTGCCTCATTAAAAGGCCCAGGAAAGTGAGGTTCCTGATATTTGTTCTTGAAACTCTTGGGGATATTGTCAGCACTGAGCCATTTCTGGTACTTCATCCAGAAATCTGGCGGTATACATAGACCTTTCAATATGGCATCTCGCCAGCATGGATCAATGACCAAATATTTACAAAGGCACATCATCATGAAGTCCCGGGTGAGGAATGGGATGTTTTGGTACTGCTGAGTGGATGGTAGCTGGAAATTGATACACTGGATAATTGGATAAATCAGGATTTGAGCCCGGATCTGGGGAAGATCTTTTTGTCCCAATAAGATCTGACTGATGTAGACCCCAAGTCCTCCTCCAATGCTATCTCCACAGACCACCACTCGGGAAGGATCCACCCCATAGGTTTTCAGGGTCCTCAGGAAGTGAATGGAGGCATTCAGACAGTCACTGGCAATGACAGGGTAATGGCACTGAGGAAGCTTCCGGTACCTAAGGAGGATGGAGGAAAAACAGAACACTGTGTATAGGTGTCACTGCAGTCCATCTGAACCCAGTCTTCTACAGTCCTTAGCACACTTTCCCCAATGGAGTCTTCAGAAGGATCCTAACAAGTAACTGTGGATATCCCCGTTGTCTCCCTCTGTCAATGTGAAGTATCTGCTCAGAGTCTAGCTGTGTAGGATTCTACATTCCTAGCACATGCTCCACTTCCACACTTCTCTTGCCTACACAAACCCACAGAAAGTAGCACAAGTTAAAATCTATGAGATTTGGAATGGGAACAAGCATGAATGGCAGAAAAATGGCAAGTGAGGCTACAGCTGCTCATGAGAGAGTTAAGGACCATCATGGTGGGGCATTTTTGAAACAGAAGGCTAGACTGACAAGAAAACTGCTTCAGTGATCTATGAAACTTAGTAACATGGCATGTGCTAAAAAATCCACCCTGAGACTCTGATAAGGTCACAGAGACATGATGTTCAAAATTGAGAAATTCTTCCCTAGAAGAGCTAATAAGCTAAAAAAAAAAAAAACTAAATAAGAAATAACTAAAAGAAGCAGATGTGATAGTGAAAACCTGTAATCCCAGAACTCAGAAGGCTGAGGCAGGAGGATCACCGTGAATTCAAGACCAGCCTGCGCTACATAGTGAGTTCCAGGTCAGTTTCAACTACATAGTGAGACCCTGTCTCAAAAAACCAAAAAAATAAAAAATAAAAATAAAAATAAAAGAAAGAAAAAGAAAAAGAAATAACTAAAAGAACTAAATAAAAAATTCTTACCTAGAAGAACTAAAGCTCTCCACGCTCCCATGACCTCAATCTATTTGAAATAACTACTTTTGGAGTTCACACATATGGATATCAAATTATTAGTTTCCCACCAGCTTTGTTGCTGACAGCACCTCCAATGTCTGGATTTATGGTGACAACTGCCTGGGTTACATCCAGGGACTTGAAGGCAGCTATTGCTGAGAATGCTGACTCTTCGCTTCAGCCTAAAGACTTCTGATGAGTGGCTAAAATGGGGTAAAAGGCATGAAATCTCTATCCTCATGTAGTGCCTGCCCCCTTTGCTGCTTCAACCAACCTAGAGTCAGAGTCTTCTGAGTTCCACAAATACATATTGATTATTCAAGAAATATTTTATCCAAGTTGACAGCACAGGGTTAGCTTGCCCTACTGCCCATTGGAGCTGGAATTTGTCTCTACTACCCCACCCTCGTGCTTTTTCAAGCCATGAAATTCCTTCAGCCCTACACTGGACCTTTATGCAGGATGATCATGCCTCCAGCAAAAGAAACTGGGGCAGTTCCTAAGCAAACTTGAGCAGCTCTTTAACCATAAGATACTTGGCCAGGATGTTCTGTACTTCACATCAATGCCAGATATACAGCATCTCAATAGCCCTTAGTGCAAGTTTACTGTGACCACCCAGTTGTCCAGGTGTCTCACAAAAATAATTTATTTCCTGTATGGGGACTGAACACAGGATTTTCACACTGAGCTAAATTTATGGTTTTTGTTATGTTTAATGTTTGAGTCAGTCTCTGGTTACATCACTAGTTTCCCCAAGATAAAATCCAACTTATACAAGTCCACCAGGACCACTGTGGCATAGGTTTGCAGGCCTCAGCCAAAGGCCTACCTGGAAAATAGCTGTGCAGGTACACAGGTCACAGCACAAAACCCACTGAGATATCATCTGTAAGTGTATGCATACTCCATCCAGAGGCCCACTCAGGCACAATCAACCTGTCAGTGCGTTCTCCAGATACACACCTGCCCAGATATCAATTTTGCAGTTATGCAGGCCCCCAGCAGGGACCCACCCAGAAACCAGTGGCCTGTGTGTGTAAGCCACAGCCAAAGGCCCATCTGCAAAACAGCTGATCAGGCACACACACCCAAGCCAGAAGCCCACCTAGACAAAATCCCCAGGCAGGGATCCAGAAGGCCATCATTCTGAAACCAGATATTGGCAACGTTGTGAGCAGCAGAGAAGGCCTCTCTGAGTCTTCTTGAGAACTGAAGCCCACTGGGACAGCAGGGTCACATAAATAAAGGAGCAGCCGACTTCATTGGTTGAAATAAAAGACACCTAAACAAGTTACAAAACAAGACTTGTAGACCACCAAAGGCAACCACCAGGGGCAACAAGATGGAATAACCTGAAACTCAACTACCTGGTCTTCCTGAACCAGTAAAAAATAAAACCTGGAAAAAATAAAATCGGAAATAATTTCTCACATAGCTGAGATTGTGTCCATAATGAGAGACATGATTAATAATTCTAGAGCATACATGGATTTTTTTTAAAAATAGAGGAACTCAGGAACATGAAGGAATTCCAGCATAGGAAAATAATGGAATCCATAACACTTTTCGAGCAGGGGGAAGTATTTGACATAAAAATAAGTGAGGCATATGGACTCCAACTAGCAATGATTAAAAAAATTTTGAAAGCTAGGCATATAATAGTTAAGATTGAAGAAACACAATAATACAACGAAACACTACATGCAATTAGAGAAAGGAAATAGATCAATAAAAAGGAAAGCCCATCAGAACCACAGCAGACTTCTCAACACAAACCCTCAAGTCGAGTAGAGCCTATAGTGAAGTATTTCAAGCCCTAACAGAAAGCAACCTCCAACCTAGATTGATGTACTCTGCAAAACTATCTTTCAAAATTGAAAGATAAATAAGATACTTTCATGACAAAGAGCACCTGAGAAGCACCTGAGGAGCTTCATGAAATACCAAACCAGCACTCCAAAATATTTTAAACTATATCCTAGTAAAAGACAATGAGGATTTCAAACACAGGAAACTCAGCAGAATGAATCCATTAGGCATGACAAGAAATTAAATGCAAAGGCAAAGAATAGAGGATCAGAAAAGGTCATGACAAGTACAAGTCAACACATATCAATTATAACCATCAATGTTAACAGTCTCAATCCACCAATCAAAAGAAATGGACTGGCAGAACACACCAGGAGCCAAGATCTAACAATGTGCTGTATACAAGAAACACACTTTATTCAAAAAGAAACACATAGACTGAAAGTTAAAGGGTGTAAAGCAATACACTATGAGACAGGAACTTGAAAAAATAAAACAGAAGGTATCTTATTTGCAAATAAAATGAATTTCAAACCAAGACTGATTAAGAGAGACAAAGAAGGTCACCACATCATTGTAAATGGAACAATTCAGGAGGAAGAGATGACAATCATAAGTATATATGCCCCAAATGCTAGTACACCCAACTACATAAAACAAATGTTAACAGACAATACAAATCAAATAAGCACCAATACAATAGTAATGGGGTACCTCAGTACCCATTATCACAAATAGATAGATCCACCCAAAAGAAAAATGAACAAAGAAATAGTAGAACTCAACCAAACTATTGAAGAAATGGACTTAACTTGTTTAGAGTACTCCACCCCCACAAAATCAAAATACACATTCTTTTCAGCTGCACACAGATTGTTCTAAAAAATAGAACACATATTTTTTCATAGAACCAGTTAAAGTAAATGCAAAGGAATTGAAGTTATCTCCTGTATATTATTAGATCATAGTGTGATTAAGTTGGAGATAAACAGCAAAAGAAAGCACAAGACTATCATAAACACATGGAAATTGTACAGCACATTCCTGAATAACCAGTGGGTCACAGAGAAAATTAAAAAAGAAATCAGACAGTTTCTACAATTAAATGACAATCCCAACACAACATATCAGAATTTACACAGTGAAAGCTGTCTTAGGGTAGACATTCATAGCAGTAAATACTCATACTAGGAAAACAGAGCAAGCTCAAATATACAATCTAATATTGAACCTCAATCTTCTAGAAAAAGAAGAGCAGGATACAACCAAAACTCATGCAAAGGAGGAAATTATAAAGATCAAAGCAGAAATCAGTGTGATTGAGACTTAGAGAATGATACAAAAAAATCAATGAGTCAAAGAGTTGGTTCTTTGAAGGAATAAAAAAAATAGGCAAGACTGTATGTAACCAATCTTACCAAAAAAGGGAAAGAAAAGGCCCAAATCTATGCAATTAACAATGAAAATGTTGAAATTACAATGGACCCAACAGAAATTCAGAGAAGCATTCTTCTTTGAGAACCTATGTGCAATAAGATGGAAAACACAGAAGAAATAGATTTGTAGATAATTAAAAACTTACTACAGAATAAGAACCCAGGTCCTGATGGCTTTATTACTGAATTGTATAAGACATGTAGAGAAGAACTACTGCCACTACTATTTAAATTCTTCAGCAAAATTGAAAGTGGAGCAATACACCTAAATTCATTCCTGGAAGCAAGCATCGCTTTGATCCCCAAAGCACATGAAGACCCAACCAAAAAAGAGAATTATAGGTCAATCTCCCTAATGAAGATGGATGCAAAAGTCCTCAATAAAATACTGGCAAATAGAATGCAGAAGATAATAAAAAAGATCATATAACCTGACCAAGTAAGATTAATCCCAGAGATGCAAGGATGGTTCAACATATGCAAATCAATAAATATAACACACAATATTAATAGAGCCAAGGATAAAACCATACGATCATCTCAATAGATGCAGAAAAGGCATTCCACAAAATTCAACACCCACCCAAGATTAAAAAAAAAAACCTACAGAAAATTGGACTGCATAGTTGCTATCTCAACCTGATAAAAGCCATCTATGGAAAAACAAGCATCAATATCAAACTAAATGTTCAAAAACTGAAATCATTCATGCTAAAATCAGGAGCAAAACAAGGATGTCCACTATCACCATTACTGTTCCATATAGCTCTGGAAACATAAGTCACAGCAATTAGAGAAGAAAAAAATATAAATAATAAAGACAGGAAATGATGAAAGTAAGTTGTCATTATTTGCAGATGACATGATACTCTATATAGAAGATCACAAAAACTCCACCAAAGTGTCTCTAGACTTAATAAACAAATTCAGTAGAGTAGCTGGGTACAAGATCAACACACAAAAATCAATAGCCTTACTATAGCCCCAAAACAGATTCACTGAGAGAGGAACTTGAGAAACAACTCCTTTCACAGTAGCATTGAAAAAAGGAAATACCTAGGAATCAACTTATTGAAAGGCATCAAAGACCACTACTCTAGAAACTATGTCACTGAAAAAATGGATTGAAGAGAATATCAGAAAACAGAATGACATCCTTTGCTCCTGGAAAGGAGGAAGCAATATACTGAAAATGGCCATATTTCAAAACTGTTATATAGATTCAACATGATCCCAATATAAATTCCAACAGCACAGAGTTTGAGAAAACAATTCAGAAATTCATTTCCAAAAGAAGAGACCCAAAATAGCAAAAGCAATTCTAGGCAGCAAAGAAAAGATAGGTGATATCACTCTCACCAACTTAAAACCATACTACAAAGCTACTGTGATAAAACAGCATGGTACCAGCAAAGAAACAGAACCAAAATTCAATGGGACAGATTAGAAGATGCAAAACAACTCCAGAAATACTCAGCCACCTCATCTTTGACAAAGAAGCCAACCACCTTCACTGGAGGAAAGATAGATAAATAGTGATGGAAAAATTGGGTTTCAAAGTATGAAACATTAAAACTAGACCTATATCTTTTATCATGCACTAGACTAAAGTAGGTATGGATCAAAGAGCTACATTTTAAAACAGAAACACTAAAACAGCTGGTTAGGTTAGGTATAACCAAGAGGTTAGGTAGAACTCTACAGGACCTTGATCCGAGTAAAGATTTCATAAACAAAACCTCAGTCACATGTGAACTAGAGCAAAGATTCAACAACTTGGATCTCATCTTATTAAAAAACTTCTGCACTACAAGAGAAACCACCAACAGAGTAAAGAGACAAGGCAGAATGTGGGGGGAAATTTTTAGAGCTCTTCCTCACACTAAGGTCTACTATACAGCATGTAAAAAGAACTTATAAACATCAGACCTCCCAAATTTAAAGACCCAATCCAATCAAATGCTACTATACAGCATGTAAAAAGAACTTATAAACATCAGACCTCCCAAATTTAAAGACCCAATCCAAAAATGGGCATTTGAAATGAACAGCCATTTTTCAGACTAAGATGTACAAATAGCAAGGAAACTTATGAGAAAAGGTTCAACATCACTGGTCATTTGAGAGGTAGAAATGAAAACAATGCTGATATTCCACCTCACTCCAGAGAGAATGGCTGCTATCAAGAAATCAACCAATAAAAAAGGCTGGTGGGAATGTAGCCTGGTGCAACCACTGTGGAAATCATTATGGAGATACCTCCAAAAACTAAGATCAGAGGTCCCATGTGACCCAGCTATTCTCTTGCTGTTATCTTCTCAAAAGAATTAAAGAAATCATACCACAGAAATAAATGTGTAGCCATGTTTAGAGCTACACCATTTGTAATACCTAAAACACGGAAACAGACCAATTGTCCATCAAATGGATACTGGACAGAAAAGATGCGTGTGTCTGATTAATAAAATGGAGTACTACTCAGCCATGAAGAGTGAGAAACTAGAGAAATTTATTGCTAAATGGATGAACATTGAGGCCATACACTTAACTGAAATAAATAGGTCACACATGTAAATAACAAATAGTTTTGCTGCTGTGAGAATTTGAAAGTATAAATAAGGATCAATATGTATAATAGATAATAGGAAATAGGAAAAAATATCCAAAAGAGAAGAGGAAGTGGGAGGGGTAGGAGAAAGGAAAAAAAGGAAAAGTAATAAATGTGAAAGAAGGAAAACAGAAAAAAATGTGTTTGTAAATAGGGAGAATTGGAAAGGTTGAATGGAAAACGGGAATGAGGAAAAAATAGGAATTGAGATATATAACAAAGTTACAAATTCCCAATGTCATCATATTTTATACCTAAAATGTATCAATAAACTTAATGAACTTTAAAAAATAAATCTGACTCATGAACCTCCTATCTCTGTCCAGCAAGCTGTTTAGCCTCTCTCTCTCTCTCTCTCTCTCCTGTCTCTCATCAAATTTCTCACTCCTTTCAGCGAAATCTCCAGTATTACTAAAGTCTGTGCCCCATAAATTTCTCCCTGTATAGAAATGTGCATACTTACAGTATTTGGCACATTTTGGTCTCTATTCACTCCGGGCCAAAGGATGCAATGCTCGGGTATCACTTCCACTGCTTGTCAATAGGAAAGCCATGCTTTAAGTCAAGGTCCAATTGCTCTCAGCCAGAAAAAGGAGGATGGGAGAGGAGAGACCATTCCCCCATTTTCAGTGTCCCCCAAACACCTCCTCCTCCTAGGCATCATCTACAGAATTCCACTGAAAACCCCTAGCCCCAAGCCCCTACTCTGCCTGATAATTCCACCAATCAGTCCATTGGAACGTCTCTGGACCACATGCCAAGACTACAAATACAAGTTACACCGAGGAATTTTTATCTGAAATAAAATGTACATTGAGCACTTTCCTTAAGATATTATAGTAGACACACACACAAACACAAACACACACAAACACACACACCTTTCTGTGCTCCGTGTTCAAGGGACCTTAATTATCCCCAATGTCTTTGGAGAAATGGGCTCTTACAGCAGAAGATCATGTACAACGGTGAACAGTTGTGAGTCACTGTGTACTGGAGAAATGCCGCCCTCTTCAGGGTCTCCAGAGAGAATCAGTGGTGCTAAATGGCCTGCTGGTGTCACACAGATGAGCTGTCTGCTCTGACTGTAATGAGCCAAGGTTAGAGGGGGCCAAATAGATATTTTGACCCTAACAAGGGGTTTTAAGATGGCCTCACCTCTACTGTCTAGCTATGTTCTCCTTCCTTGTTGAGATCTCTTGGAGTAATAACTAGAATGCTAGTGAGTTGCCACCCCTGCCATTCCATCAACTCATGGCAACTTCTTTTTACACAGGATCAGAATTATGCCTTAACACACTCAACCTTGGTCCTGGTGTGGCCTGCAGTTGGTAGATGGGTAAGGTAGGCAGTTATGTAGTGATACAGTGAGACTCTACAGGACGATCAACCCAACCCCAGCCAAGGTCTTTACCATGACCTAAACCCAATCTCAACCACCCTACCATCTCCTCCTACATCACGGATGCCTGGACTGAGAGAAGGGTGACCTTGAATATTACATATATCATTGTTTTTCTTTCATTTTTGTATTGTTTTCTTTTAACTATGTGTATCTCAAGAAGGCATTATTATGATTTTAATTATTTTAAACATTACTGTTAGAGCTTCAGGCTTCACGTAATTTCTGAATCGTTTAACTTTATATTACAATACTAAGGTGAATCTTTATCTTCACATGTCCTCCCATATCATTAATACTTCTCTGTGTCACAGTCCTTATCAGCAATGTAATGTAGTAGTCTATCTCTCCAGGACAAACTATGCATTCCCTAGGAGCAGGCATCTTTCCAGTCCTGCGCTGCTTTGAGGGGGCTATGCCTGTGTCCTTGGTGCCTGTCCATGAGTAACTCCTGGGTCAGGGAATTGTCTCTATTCTACAATCATCCAAGAACTCCCTCCACCTTCTTCCCATGGAAAAAATGAGGAGTGTCTCCAAAACTCACCCCACTGCCAATAGCACAGAATCAGTTTCCCGAGCCAGAAAACTGCACACGTTATGGTAAAAATCTGCAACACAAGAACAGACCCCAGGTGTCCCATGAGAAGTGCCCAACATCTCATCCACAAGCTCAGGAAAAGCAGCCACTATGGGGGCATGGGGTGATTTCCTATATCTGTTCCTCCTCTGGTCTCCTCCCACTTTGGTGGGCTATGTTTGGGGAAAGTCAGACATCTGCCACAATCTCTTGAATGTTCAGGAGGGAGCAGACCTGGGTATCAGGGTTAAACATGCATCAATTAATATTATACTGAGGGAAATTGAGTAAGGGTTAGGGATCTGGAGTGGACAAAACCAAGGAAAATCAACTTGGGCATGCCTGCCTGGGAATACTAATAATTTGGTGCGTTTATATTCAGAAAATAAGCAACAGCTGGATGGGACATCTTGTTAAACTGGGAAGTTCATCTGAAGTTCTAGAAGGCAGATCCATCGATGTTAGCGGGCTTTGCTGCAGCCCCCATACTAGGCTCAGAACCTGCCAAATGCACCTCTATTCAGCCCTTCTCGTGTCCTCCTGTTGGCGCAGATGCATCAAGCAGTCTATCCAAGTCCTGTGCAAGGCTAACTCCAAATCCAGGATCAGAGCCTCGGGCTAAGAGGTCAAGCATCTGGTGTTCCCAGTTTTCAGGGGAGCCAGGGAGGGCTTGAGGGTGTGGTATAGTGAAGATAGAAGGGAAACATTGACAAAGTCACTGAGGCTTCAGATGAGTAGGTGGCCAGCACCTGTGACAAAGATCCGTACCAGCTGGTTCAGACCCTCTGCCTGTTAGTTCATCTGGAAACTTTCTGAAGTCCTGAGACCTGCGACCACCCTAGAGTGGGACTGTCATCCTGGAGGAGGGCTGTGGTGGGTAGGATCTTTGAGCTCCCAGAGTGGGTGAAAGACAGCCAAGGACGAGCACTCTGTTGGCCATGGCCTGGGCCCTGCTGACCTGCACAGCTTCATTGGCTGATCTGACAACCTGACTTCCCACAGGCCACAAGTGGCTCCTTCTTCTGAGCTCTGCCTTTGATAGATGCTGCTTAGACTCAGCACGGCTGGATCAGAGTGAGACAAGTGAAGCACTGTGGGTGCAAAATCCAGGGCACCAAGACACACAGACTTTCTGTGTACTGATGCAGAACATTACAAAACCAAAAATAAGCCCAAAAGATGCCACAATGAGCAAATAACTTGTATTTTTAACAGGCTCCTGCTTTACACTTATAAATGTCACTAGCGCTGCCTTACAACACTTTTGGTATTAGATTCAACTTAGTCTGTTGCATTAATATTTTTTCTTTGAATATTACCTTAAAGTGTAATATTAATTCTACTAACTGAAGATTTTGGTGCTCCTTATTTTGGAGCCTGAGGTACCTACTTCCCTGGCCTGCCAAAGTCTCCACCTGGCTCAGAATGATCCTCTTCTCCTTCTTCGCTTTCTCCTCTTCATCTTTTGGTCTGGGCTCAGGTGCTACCTTCTTGGACAGGTTTGGCCTGATTAGAGGGACTCGATTGCAGTGCCTTCTGGTCACTCTCTGTTTTGGCAGTGTGTGATATCAGCATGTGAAAATCGTCAGTTATGTGAATTCTTTTGCCCTGGTCAGCTTCCTCACTGACTAGCATGTAAGGGCTACAGTTGGGTCTTCTTTTTCTCTGTTTCTACTGTGTTTGGAAAAGGTAAAATGCCAAAAAGGGGCTCAGGAAACATTTCCTAACCCATCTTCTTATTACCTTTGGAATGACATTTTCTCTCAACACTGCTTGGCACTGGGGGACTGGGTCTTGGGGCTACTGAGAGTGAAGATATCTCACAGGGATATCAAGGGATGCAATGTGTTCCCAGTTAATACCTTTAGGGGACACACTCTAAACATTTTTTTTTTGCAAGTTGGTGATTGAGCCTCACTCAAGGGACCTTACTCAGGGTAGGCAAATGTTCCATCACTGAGATAGGTCTCCAGCCTTGGGAACATCTTTTCATGTTGAGTGAATTGCAAGTGCAGAAGACTAGGCAAAAGGAATTTCCTGGAGATGTAAGTTGTGGTCAAGAGAAGGTTGATTTTGATCCCCATGATTCTGGAGAGCTAAGGTCAATGCATGGATCATTGTAACTGAAACAGGATAGCGCATTGGCCATGTGAATGGGAAGAGAAGAAAAAGTCAATGGCTAGTGTGCTGACAAGGGACCGGGACTATCACATATTAGGAAACATTGCCCATGAAGGCAGCTATTTCACCAAATTAACTAAACCTCAGGCTATCTCACTTCACTCCTCTGAAAAACCTCGTGATTCCTCTGACTCACTCCCTTTTATTTTAGTGGGATCTTAGGTGAAGCTATCCATGTTCCAAGGCCTTCCTCTTCCGTTCCTTCAGGAAGCTCCTTACCGAGACTGCCTAATAAACCAGCTCCTCCATGGTAGTAGATGATGCCTCTCCGGGAGCGACTGGATGTCACCTTGGGCTGGAAAAGCCTCACTGGGATTGTCCCGTAGAGCAGATTGGTAACCACCACTTTAGGGTCATTCGTCTTTCTGAATACCCTTTCATGTAGAAAGCGAGCAAAGTTGGGCATGTAGCAAATATTCAGCTTCTCTAGTATGTTCCCCTGTTGGAGGCAAGAAGAGGAACATGAGGTGGAGGACAGGTTAGTATACTGGAGGTCGGTCTCCCCCTGCAGGTGACTGTAATATCGGTTATGCCCAGAGCAGGCTGTAAAAAGTTAATCCCACAATTGTCTTGTTTATTGAAGTGAGTCTGGCTGCAGCCTGTGAACCAAGGTCACAGTAACTTGCACCTGCACTATGTTCCCACACCTGAAACCTTACTAGAAGGACAGCGTTCTAATTACAACCATATATTTTGTCTGTTCTGTTCCTCATTGTCTATTTCTGTTCCTCAAGAATGCATTTTCTTGTCTTGCATGAGCCTTGCTAACACTAATTTCAATAGAAACCACAGGACTAAGCATGCTCACATGCACTAGTGTACTTGCAAGCAGCTCACCATTGTCCCAGTTGATTACCAATAAAAATCAGTGGCTTGGACAAGCCAGTGCCTTCATTAATTGTACTGACATTGGTCATCCTGTTACCCTGCTTTCTGTCACTCTTAGTTCTCTTTCAGTTTTTTGCTTTTTCTTTGTTTGTTTTTTGTCAGTCTTGCATTGTACACTGGGCAAGAGATTGGAGACTACTGTAGAGATTCCCTTTGTCCGTTATACTTGCTTTGTTAATCCTGGCATCCTTCTTTGTCTCTCTCTTAGTTCTGTCTTTTAGGGTTTTGTTGTTGTTGTTTTTTTTGGTTTTTGGTTTTTGGTTTTTGGTCAGGCTTCCATCATACATTGGGAGATTAGAGCCTACTGCAGAGGTGTCTGGTAATGTTTGAGGGGTTCCCAGTATCCCCATACTTACCATGCCTAAGATTGCCCATGTTTCTTTCTTGTCTCTTGCATGCATAGTTGGCTTAATGTATCTAAGTGGAACACAAACAAAGTTTCTTCTCTTGCAAGCACATGCATATTTACCTTTCTGGCAGGGTGTCCCAAGGTGCCTTGCCACAACTCTTTGCTGGTGCCGTGGTCCTAGCTTTCCCTACTCCTTGAAATGTGAGGCCAACAAACTTCTCTTGTTTATAAATTATGTGTTCTGTGGTATTGTTAGAGCCACAGAGAAATGACTGAATGGGAATGATTTTGCCAAAGTGGCAGCCCAGTCTGTGGCAGAATGGGAAGAAGACACTGGATTGAAGGAAGTCAGTTGTCTGACGCCTCTGACATATGTCCTTGCTCTCTTTGGTTTTATGCTGGTCTCTACTCAGCCTCATATGGAAGCAGTTTGGTCACCTGTGTCAACACTCATCACTGCACACCTGTTGCTCTGGGTTATGGAGCATCTATAAGCTGTGTCTGTGTTCAGCATAAGAGTGATGGGATCATGTGGGGGTGTCAGTTTTGAGCTCAGAAAGGAGTATTGGAAAGGGATTACATATGAAGTGTGACAAAAAGACAATTAATGCTTACATTTTGCACATTTTATCATAGAACAGACACATTGTCATTAATTGCCTTTGGGAAAAACTTTGCTGGATCAGGGTGCGTGAACGTGGAGTAAGGGAGTAACACTGGGATTAAGGGTCTGGTTGTAGGAAGCCACATGCTGGATGTGAGTGGTACCAGTCAATAGGCTTACGGCCAGAATGGAATATAAAGGATCATAAAGAAGTCAAGACATGATGTTGCTGCTGTTTCTACTGGTGCTGCTGGTGCTGCTGCCTCTGCCTCTTCCTGTCTGACATGCCATTAGCTGTTTCTCCTCCACGATGCCCCTTGGCCTCGCTGCCCTGCTTTGGAACCAGATGACTAAGGACTAAAACCTCTACACACCGTCCGCCATAGTAACCCTTTCCTCCTTCAAAAACAAATACTCATCTTCAATTTAAACTTGCTTCTTTCTGAAGCAGCTGCGGAAGTCTTCTTCTGTGAGCGTCTTCAGTTTTTCTGTTATGTCTGCCTTGATACCCTGAGTTCATTCAAAGCAGTTACCTTTCATGGTTTCCAGGGGTGATAAGGTGGATGAGGATGTCCTCTAATTCTTTCTCTTGAGTGGCTGTAGGCAGCATCACTCACTGTATTTTTCTCGCACTTCGCAAAGACCCTCATGAGAGAGGATGACTAGATGTGGTTCACAGAGCGACAAAGATGATGGCATTGGTGTGTTTGAAGCAACAGCGGATGTTTTCAGGGGATGGATCGCAATGCATCTTTTACCATAAAAATTAATTTTAAAATTTAAATATTTCCTGTATTTATCAATTGTACTTATCAAACACACTAATTCTAATGACAAGCCAATGCTTGGATATTTTGTGAAATATAGATATAAGGAAAGACATTTCACATAGAAAGTGCACTATAATGGTTTTGGACCATCTCCTCCATTGACCTCCTATTTTGGTCCTAGGGAAGTGCAGGCTAGTTTGGGTCTGAGACTAAAATCAATGGCCCCACATATCCAACACATTCAGAGAAATGGGGCTCTTCCAACCCTTAGTGTTTCTGTTCACAGCAGCACACCAGCTAAGCCCTTCTGATGACAGCTGCTATAGGCTGTGCACAAGGGCTCAGACACTGATAAATGAGAGACATTGAAACCCAGAGATGCTAATTTCTAGGAACTCAGTTGGTGTGGACCTCAGACTTGAAATGATCCATGCCAATAGTGAAAAAAATCCACCAATTGTCCAGGGACATTTTTTTTTTTTGCCAAACAGTGCTAAACCTAATAATCCCTGTCATATGTTGTCTGATGAGGCAGATACAACTGACCTCATTTTACAGATGCAACGGAGACACAGAAGATTGTGCAAATGGACCACAAGCACACAGCTAGTAAGAAGTAGCATAAGAATACATACATGCTTGGTTCATTAGCAGATTTATACTTATACCTCTTCACCTTTTGTAAAGCTGCCCTCAGAGATAATCAGTGTGAGTTTTGTACTATTTCTAGATTCCCAGGGTTGCAACATAGAGATTAACTCAGGTTACCTTCCTCCTACATGGGGAAAAACTCTTCTTCCCAATCTGATGCAGCTCTGAGCAGGAGCTGGTCTACTGCTGCCATTTCAACCCAGAGCTCTGCTCAGAAACCAGCCTATACGGCCACCTTGAAATGGTCGCTGAACTATTTTATGATTTGATCAATTAATAGAACCTATGAGATGCCAAGCCTTGTGCTTGGAGCTACTTTTCAATCTGAATATACTAGTCCCAGTGCTCAAGGTACCTGTAGCTGTGCACTACACACATCTGGGGGCAGGTAAGTGCATAGAGGAAGAAAGATGCTGCACTGAATGTGTCAGTCCCCATCAAATCATTAGTATGCAAGAAGTGTTTCTGAAACGATTACTCATTCCTCAGGAAGGAGCCTGGGGTTTGGCATGTAGCAAAGGTTTTATGCTGAAGGAAGAGAGGGAAGGAGTTACTAAGGTTAGAGGGGTGAGGGAGTGGATGTGAAAGGAAGAAGGGACAGAAGCACAGAAGGAAAGGTACAAGGAAGAAGGGAAAGAAATGATTAATGAACAAAAGAAGGAGGAAGTGAAAAAAGGAGGAGTTAGGATAGAAGAAAGTTGTGAAAGAATGATGGATGGAAGAAAGCAGAGAGGAAGAAAAAAGAGAAAATGGATCAAATGATAGAAGGAAAAAAGGAAAGTATGAGGGAAGGAAATAGAGGGAGTGAAACCAGAAAGAAAAAGGGAAGGAAGGGAGTATATAAAAAGAGAAAACAGGAAGGAGAAAAGGAACAGAAACAGCAAGGAAACAAAGAAAGGAGAAGCAGAAGCATAAAACTAAAGACAGAAAAAAAAGGAGGAAGGGAAGGAAGAAAAGATAAAATAATCTAAAGAAGGGAGGAAAGAAGGAGAGAAAGAAAAAAGGAGGGAAGGAAGGAAAGGAGAATAATGAAAGAAAATAGTGGATACGTAAGAGGGTAGAAAAAGCTATCTTGTCTGTTTTAGGGGAATCTGAAGAGAGAGGGAAAGGAAATGAAAGGAAATGGGAGCAAGACACAGCATTAGCACTCCCAGCTCAAGACAGAGCCTGAGAGAATACTCACCAAAACGATCACATACATAAAAGCACAGTACATAATTCTGAACTTGAAAGGTTGTTTCAAGGCAGAGGGGACTTGTATGGTGAAGAAATACTTAGAGATGGTCCAGACGAGGAGTCCCAGGAGAAAGATGAGCAGGCCCAGAAGTGGCACCAGGAGCAGGGCAACCATGATCTGAGGCCACAAGGAGCTGCTCCCTGAGAAACCAGCTTGTGAGCGTGTTGAAGAAAACCTGGCTGCTTATATGGGTTCCAGCTCCACCCAACATTCTGGCCTTTTCTGGCATGGTGATCTGACCCAGCCTTTGAGAATTCAAGCAGGAGTAAGCTGGAGGAACCTACACCATAAAGAATGCAGTGACCAGGAAAGCACAGGAGGCTGGCCAACGGGAGTTGGGGACATGGTCTTCCCACAGAAGAGGGAGGGAGAGACTGAAGGAAGGACAGAAGCAGGGAGGGGAAAACCACAGAAAAAAAAAAGAAGAAGGAAGAAATAAATGAAATAACCAAGGAAGATAGGAGGAGTTAGAGACAGAGAAAAGAAAGCAAAGAAGAAAAGAAGGAAATCTGAAGGAGGAAGTGATTGATGGAGAGGAAGGAAAGAAAGTAAGAATAAAGGATGGGGAGAAGAAAATAAAATGTAAGGAGAGAATAAAGAGTGGAGATGTGAAAGAGTGTGGCAAACTCTGACCTGTGGAGCTCTGCAAAGGAAACAGAGATAAAGGAGAGAAGGAGAGCAAAGGTACAGAGAAAGCAACCCCAACTCATGATAGGACTTGAGAGTAAACTCACCAACGTGGTCACATACAGGAGCAAGCAGTACAGAAATCTGAGCTTCACGGGATGTTGCAAGGCAGAAGGGATTTCTGCAGTTAGAAAATGCTTGAAGGTGGCCCAGATAAAGAGCCCTAGGTGAAAAATCACCAGACTTGATAACATCACCAGCAACAGGACGCCATTGTCTGAGGCCAGGGGGCCGTAAGAAGCAGCCTGGATAGTGTGTGAAGAGGACATGGCTGCTTACATTGGCTCTGCCTCCACTCATTTCTTCTGTGCCATGCCTGATATAATGACCTGGCACAGGCTCTCAAAGGTCAGCTGGGCAACATGAGCTGGAGGAACCAGCTCCTCAAGCCACACAGGGGTCAGGGAATTTGGGATGTGGTTGTCACAAAGATCAGCAAGGCTGGGTCTCAACTGGCATCCCAACTCCTGTGTCTCTGGGGAAGAGGTGTAAGGTGGGTGGCTGAGGTGCCCAGAGCCTGATGGCTCCCATCCTGCTACAGAATCCGGTCATTGGGCAAAGCACATCTCATTCCCAAGTCCTTAGTTAAGTGCGTATTAAATCCTAATGTTGTGCTCCAAGGGCACAGGGCAGGGGCAGAGTACCCAACTGGGTAAGAGGATCAGTGAGGACCCTGTCCACCTGCACTTAAATGTTCTCCTGTCCACTTGCTCACTCTGCAGCCTCAGCCACATTCTGCTCTCTGCGCCTGTAAGGAGGAGAGTAACTATTCTCAAGTGTCCAAGGCACAACACTCAGGTTTGTTAAATGTGCTTTACACAGTAGTTCTGGTCATTTTGTTCTCTCTTGGAAGAAAACAATATGGGCCAAAATTGCCCACAAACTATCCCTTGGTATATATCAGTTTTCAGAGGAAATAGAGACTTGATGAGATTGTCATGCCCTTGACTTCCTCCTCAATACCAAACTGTAGTTTTGTAAACCATGTCTGGGGGACTCTGGAGCTGCTGGCCAAACCCTAGTCAGACTGATTCGTTGTCTATGGAAGGTCAGACAGAAAGAGAGTGTGAGCCGTGCTTCTCCTTTGTTTCTTCACTTATTTGCATTAAAAAGTGCATAGCATCTTTACCATCATCACCATTTGAAGTGTGAAGTTTGGAAATGTTAAATATCTTGTTATGCAATTGGTTGAACTCTTGCAAAACTGAAACTGTAACTTGTAAACTACTCACCTCCCACTGTGCAGCCCCTGACAACCACCATTTTCAAAATATTTGAAACTACTTTAGCCAACATCCATAGTATCCTGTAGCATTTGTGGTTTAGGGGCTGGTTTTCTCCATTTAACATATTTTCCTCCAACCATATTCAAGCTATAGCCATGATGACTGTCTCTTTTGAAAGCCTGAATAATATTCATTATCTGTATACATACCAAATGTTTCTCCTTTTTTCTCAATGCCAGGGATAACATCTACTGTGTTGCGCATACTAGGCAAGTACACTATCACAAACGAGCAGCCACAAAATCACATGTTGCTTACCCATTTATCCAGTACCGGACATTTAGGATTCCTCCACTTCTAAGCAAGTAAGAATAATAATGCTGTTATTGGTTATTACAGGGACCAGCAGTATTTTTCAGGTTCTTATTGTCTCATTCATTGATGTGGTCAGAACAATTGGTGAATTGGGAAAGACTAATGTTTGTTTAGGGCAAAGACTAAGAAGAAGAAGAAAATGAAAAGGGAAAAGAAATGGAAGCAAAGTACTCAAGAAAAGAGTGCTTTGAAGCAAAAATGGGACATAGACAATGGGCAAGAAGAAAGGACCACTGCAAGAATCAGAGGGAGGCAGCTATGCCACCACTGTACCACCAATGCAGACTGCAAGAATCCGAGGGCAGAAGCACAAAGTTGATTGCTGCCATCCTTCTGTATCTTCATTTTAGCATTAAGTCCAAGTGGCCCTACATGCTAGAAGATTGGTGTCAGGTGCTATTTTCAGCACTTTCTCATGTCAGAAGATTGGTCCCAGGTGCAGTGCTCAGCTGGATCTTGTGTCAGGCTCCAGAGCTGCTGCCCTACACCCGTGGTAAAGAGGCTCTTCATCTGGAAGGTGGTGCCCAATTGGTCCAGCCACATTTCCATAGCCTATTCTCATACCTTGGTACCGAAATGTGGTTGTGAAATATTCTCTCATTCTTATGTGACTTTTATTTATCCAGAATTAATACGTCTATGTACACATATGCTTATGTAAAAGTTCACATGAATTATAAGAGTTCAGCAAGAGGAATTTTCACAAAACAAACAAATTCAAGAAATTATCCCCAAATTCTAACACAGGATATCTCTGATGCCCCTTTCTCTCTGTCACAGCCACCACTCCTGTTACATACCCACAAAAGGGCTCTGGTCTTATTCATCTCACAGCCAAGACTCATTTCTCTGGCTTCTGAATTTTTCATAAATAGAATGCTGCAGAGAGTGATCTTTCTGCCTGTATTTTTTCACCCAACAGTGTTTGACAGATTCTTCCATGCCATGTGCATGAGTTCCTGCCTTCTTATTCTTATACACCATTCTATTCTTTGATACATCAGACTTCTTCATTTCTGCTATGTGTTCACAGAAGAGTTTATACAAGTTATCACACTATTACCTCTAATTTCCAAATGCACAATGGTTTCACAGTCTGTGAAACTGAAATTGAAAGCCTCCATGATTTTCTTCATCTGATGGCACCAAAGCTTTGTCAGTGAAGAGGAATGGGGAGATGTAGCAGTAGAGGAATATTCTGCTTCTTGGTTCCAGGCACTACCTCAGGAGGCTTCCACATCATATGGACTTTGGCCTGTATCCAGCTTCTGCATTGTGGGAGGAAACATTAAATAGAAAGGAATTATGAACTATAACATGATATTGGAGCAAAAGAAATTATCCTATAAGAAGGCAAATAGATCAAAAGAACATGAGAAGTGTAGACAAAATGATCCACCACTATTCGTAGGAGTGAGACAGAGAACAGAAAGAAGACATCATTTTCTACTCCAAATACTGTAATCCAGATCTTGCTGGAAATGCTCAATGTGACTCCTTCCCTGGAAGAAGATGATGGTCTGGTGCTGCACCTCTTGGTTTGAAGAGATGTTACACACACACAATTTGTGTGGAAATCTGCACTCTTTATTGATAAACAAATACATTAAGTCATAGGGAAGTGTTTTCCTGGAATAACTGAAATGAAACCACCCAAGAGGGCTGAATGGGAATAGCCTTCATGCCATGAAGGTGCTTTGAGCCAGCAAAGCAATTCAGAGTTCTCAGAAGCTGAATCTTGAGAAACAAATAGCGAAATTTGTGCCCCAAAGTATTGATGAAAATGTTAGAGCAAATAGCTTCCAATACCGGGAGGTGAAGAACTTGGTGAGATGCCAGGAGAGACAGACAAGAAGGACACCTGGGTGGGAGGAAGTCAAAGACAACCCTGCTGCCAAATGTATTCTCTTAGGGTAATTGCGAATGTACCTTTATGAGCAGACAGCAGAATTATCACACATGAGGCAAACAGGACTCACTGAAATATTCAATCCAGTCACTAAAACAAATAAATTAATGTAAGAAACAAGCACCCACAAGGGTTGGTGTCAATAGTTGCCATATCATCATATGGTAGGGCACCATTGTGCAGAGGGCACTGGACTATCCTGCCATCTGGCATCATCATGGGGTAGGGCTCAGCCCTGTCCCCACTGCCCCTGCATCTGACACAGTCACTGATGGCTGAGGCCCCAAACTGCTCTGCTGGCCAGGCAAGTATATGGATCCACATTACAGAGGAGTAGAGGGCCATATAGGCCATGGTTATGAGCTCCAGAATATACTTGATCTTAGCCAAAAGGCCGAGAAGCGATGATGAGCTCCAGAATATAGAGCTGACATGAACAACAGAGAGAGGTCCTCTCTGAGGCTACTTGATGAAAATTGAAGCCCACTAGGAAAGTCAAGAAAATCTGTGCGATAAAGGCGCAGAGGACCACTATAGTTGCTAAGATGATGGGATCAGTAACTCCCATAGGAGCTGGACTCACTTCAGGGGAAAGGTAGCTGAAACCTCCCATTGAACCTTGTAGAGTTCAATCCTGCAGGAGGTCTGGGAGATCAGCTTAGGCCTTGAAGACAGAAAGCCGCCTGAATATCAGCAGACTATAGCCAGTCTGCTTAACTGACTTAGCTCTGCACACTATTGTCCATGCTGTCTATTGTGACAGCAGGGATTTACACTAAAGGTGAAGCCTCCCTCTTTTTCTCTTTTTGTCTCTCTCCCTACTTATTATTCGCTTGTCTCCCTTTTTGTTCTTCTTCCTGTCTTCTTCTGGATTTTTATTCTCTCTCTTTCCTTCTGTCAATTGTAATTAAGGTGAATACAGCTTCTAGCTTCCCTATTGCTATTAGTTTCTTCTGTTCATGTCTTTGTTCCTTCACTCTGTCTTTTCCTCTTGTCTTCAACAGTTTCCCTAAGTTTGTGTGATCTTCCCATTTCCTCTATCCTCATTTCTAAACTTTCCCTCTCCTATCTCTCTATCCATCCCTCCAATCTCCTACATTCTCATCCCTAAGGGTAAATTTGGTATATTGAATGGTTTATTTACTACAAACGTTTTGTGCTAGTCTTCAATTTCATTTTATTTCACATGATTAAAGGTGATAGATTAATAACTACCACAAGTTGCCATTTTCTAAACTGTTCTTGATTCTATTGTTGCTGATTATATCACTTGGGCTGGTGTCATGATTGATCTACTCAGTTCTTTTTCCTGGTATAATGAAAATGAGATTGTCTCAGAGTCATTAGAGATGTAAAACATAAAGACCAGCTATATATGGAAGACACCTCTGAGAAGCAATCATTCCTTAAGGGTTCTAAATACATGCAACAAAGATACTTACAATAAGTACTTTCAAAGTATCAATCTAGGAATTAAACCAAGGATGATGCTAACAACAGTAATAGAAATGAACAAGCATTTAAGCAAGGCACAGTCTTCCAGCTCACCAAAGGAAATTCTTTGGGAAATGAGATGGAAAAGTCTGATAATTGACCACCTGGACATCCGGAACTAATAGCACAAGAAATAACAAAACAGACAAATGAGGCTTTAAGAAAATTCAAAGCAGAGATAATTTCCCAGATAATTACAGAGATGATGAGCAGAATAAAAGACATGATTAGAGACTCTAGAATAGAAACAGATTAAAAAAAAATAGATGAGTTCAGGACAATGACGGAAATGGACCATGAAAGCCCAGTATAGGAAAGAAATGGAAACCATGAATGACCAACATAGGAAAAGAATGCAATCCATGAAACAGATCCAAAAATATATTCAGGAGATTAAAAACCCTATTGAAAGTATTCAGAGTAGAATGAGCCAATGTGAAGATAGAATATCTGATATACAAAACAGGCTTGCAGTTAGTGACCATGAAATGAGAGTTTCCTTGAAAATAGTAAGGAACTATGATAAATTGCTCCAGAAGCTGCTAGAA